ATCAATAATTTTTGTAATACTTTGTTTTCCTTCAATTAATTCTAACTCGAATTTGAATTTTCTTAATCTCTTTCATTTTATTTTGATAATTAAATTTTTAATTTTTCAATAAGTGATCATTGATTCTAAATAAGTAGAAAATAGATTTAAATATTCAGCATCGATATATATATTCACAACGTAATGCAATAGATTTTTCATTTGTAATAAGTTAAGAATTTAATTTTTGGACTCTTGTAAAATTTTAACTAAAAAAGTCATCTCTTATTTCTTTAATCAAAGTATCTTAACGAATAGATTATATTCAAATAGTTGAACTATTTCTTAACTTCAGTATCATTTTTAATAATTTTCTCATCTACTAAAATATCTTCATTTAATTTAAATTGGTGTCTTCATATATTTTCTTTTAATTTATCGATTTTAATGCTATATAAAGTCTTGAAAAAAAAAGTCTTTAATATAGCTGTTTAAATTCTTCCTTGCATGAAATGATACAATAATATCATTAGGATCAATTTTCTCTAGAATCCTATTTGATTATCATTTAATGTTTTATGAAAAACATATGCTCCATTACGTTTTACTCGCATAGAACTATATTTATTTTCTTCTAATTTTCTAAACGTATTAATTTTTTTAATTAAATCAATTACAAATGGATTAAAATAAAGTATTGTTTTTAAATTAGATAATTGAGATTTTGTTTAAAAAAAATTATTTAAACTATTATCAAAGATAATTTTCGATAAAATACAATTAATATTATTTTCATGTTTAAACCATGCTAATATTCGATCATAGTTCTTAAAACCTCTTTGACAAATATCATTAATACAATCATTAGAAGTTTTGTTTTTTGTATCTATTTTAGTTTATTTATTGAAATTTGTATAACTATGATCTTATTTAAATAAAAGATCAATTGATGATTTTGATACTCAATGTAGAATAGGTTTAGTAACTATTTCTTTTAGTAAATTCAGATTTGAAAGACGTTTTCCAAATAAATCAATAAAATTTTGAAGATATTATCTTTATTTTTGTTGATTTTCATTCTTTAATAAAATTGTGGGTCGCATTCACTTGGCCGACAATCACTTGGCCGACTCATCACTTAGCCGACACCACTTCGCCGACAAATTGTTTGGCCGACATGTACACTTCGCCGACAACTCATTTGGCCGACAAATATTTGAGATCAAAAAAATTGAAATTTCTTGAAAATATTGCGTGGATTTTTCCCACTCATTCACCTGTAAATAGTGAACATTTTTCAAAATAAAATCAGACGACGATTTTTTATCAGTTAAAACAAGTCTCCCGCTAACAAACTGTTTCCCGTGAGATAAGTTCAATTTTCTTCGGGGCATTGCCCGTAATCTTTCATTGTAAATAAATGTGACTTTTGATAAAAAGATTTTCTGACGCAATATTTTCAAGAAATTTCATTTTATTTTACTTCAAATATTTGTCGGCCAAATGAGTTGTCGGTGAAGTGTACATGTCGGCCAAACAATTTGTCGGCGAAATGGTGTCGGTCAAGCGATGTGTCGGCCAAGTGATTGTCGGCCAAATGATCCGGACCCAAAATTGTAAATTCTAAACTATTATAAAAACAAATTTCATATTGATTTTTATAATATTGTTCAATGCGATTGATATAAACAAATTCTATTTTTTCCTTCTTTTCACTCAAGTATAAATTTAAGAACACTTTCAAGAGCATGAAGTTTTCTGTCTTTAATCTTACCTTCATATTCATATTCATTTGATAATTACATTTTTCCATAACCTATTTTAAGTATTCCATTCTTAAATTCACCATGATAAAAGAATTGAACCGTGATTTTTAAAATTATAATCATATCCATCAGGTTTCTCATCTTTCCCATGACCTAGAATAATATTCTTCTTCATCATTAATACTAGATTTAGTTTATCCTTCACATAATTTTTCCTTAATTGTACCATCATAAATTTTTTTACCGATCGATAAGAGATGCTGATAAAATTGATCTTCTTTTCTTTTAATCATTGAAATTTCAGACAAGTATACTATATCAACAATATTATTTTCATGACTACTACTATATTCATCATTATTTTAACATCTTATATCTTGAAGAGAAGATTTCTTTTCTTCTTCTTTACGTTCAGTATTAACAAGATTTAAGTTAGGACTTAATGATGGATTTTTATCAATTAAAATCTCTCTCTTTTTCACAATTAGTCTTCATTTTCTATTATTATCGCTTAATTTAATCTTTATCTCTTAATATATACAATAATACGTATTGCTAATTAAAGAATCATATAAATAACGAAAGCAAAAACAGAAGCGATGTTTTCCACAGACGAAGGAAAGAAAATACCGTTTCTTTTTATTAATAGTGGCAACAATTTGGGATACATTCGTTGTCTGAATCACTTATATTATATGCTTCATATTCACTTGTGAAATATTCATGTATTTTGAAATTCGAAACATCATAAGCTATAAAAATATAATTGCTACACTTTATTATCATATTGCATATACTAACAATTTAGTTAAGAATAGCAAATAATAACTGATAAAATAAATATTGTAAAAGAAGTAAAATATCTTTGAGATTCAATTTGCAATTTTATATTTAAGATTGGATATTCAACAAAATAGTTTACGAGAAATTTCCGAAAATGTAGTTGTACTTGTCAAAACTGGAAATTCTAATGAATATATCAGTTATTTTAAAAAGAATGGATTTTGGATTAAGGATGGAATAAATTTATGATCTATTAGAATTCGAAATATTATTCTTGAGAACATAAGATTTTGTGATCGAAGTGGGCTAATTTAGAAAAATGAAAGAAATGCAAAACAAGTAGAAAGTATTACTAAAGCTGCGCATGTGCAATATGGTCGTACGTCTATTAATGTAAAATATTACGTATTAAACATAAAAGAGAACAGCTGGAACAGAATTCAGAAAAAAAGATAAATTTCTAGTAATATCTATAGTTTTATTAATTATGCCAAAAATACGTTAAAAAATACTGTAAAATCGATATTTAATCAATTTAGGTATGAAAATTTTTTGGAATAATAATTTACCATCAGTGCTATTTAATCTTTTATCTGAAATCATTGAATGTAATTTAGATATTTGTTTTATAGATCAAGCTGAATATTACATAGATGTATAAAGAATATGACTCGACAAGATTTTAAAAAATCTAAAAGAAAAAGAAAATCACAAGGAAAATTAATTTTGGATTCCTGAGAAAATAAAAGAATTTTTTAAATTATTACAGTATATTTATTATAATAAAACTGCAAATCTTTGCTTTTGGTGAATTACTTGACATATTAGCAGATGAAGATGTATTTTTAAACATTGATCAAAATTTAAAAGATATTATTTTTGTTATTGATCAGTTTGACTTAAAAAGTGAACGAACGAAAATTATTCATTTTTATGATTTACTGAGACAAGCTTATGAGTTTATAGGATATGACCTACTTCAAGAACGTTATCATCAAGTTAGTTATTGCTTTTTATGAAAAAAAGTAAATTTTTAGAAGAATTTTTCTTCCTAGGGAACAAATTATAATTCCAAGAATTTATCAGAAAAAAGTTATAGTATCAATTGATATAAGGAAAATCCTTATGAGAGAAAATATCTTTCATTATTGATTGAATATGATTTTTAGTTTTTTATTAAATTTTGATCAAAATAATATTTCTAAAGCATTTGAAAAAGCGATTGTTCTTGACGAGAATTCAAGACAGTGACGACTATAATGCTTCTTTTTTTGAAAGATAGTCTTTGGCTTACGGTGTGGGTCAGGCTGTGAGTGGGGTTGGGTAGGTGTGGGTGAGTCGTCAGTTCGACCAGACGTACATTCGTATCCACACCTACACCCACATCCTTTGTTCCTTTAAGTACATGTGAGAATAGTAGGTCCGTAGCTCGTGTGTTCACACACGATATGCACAACGGCATAGATCCTTTCAGTAGAGGGTTAGCGACGTTTGCGTCGCGTTACTTGTTACTTTCTTACCGAAATTTACTAAATACCAATAAAAATAGTGTTCTTAGGATTTCTTCGTGTGGCCAGTGTTCTTTTTTCCTTCATGTTTTTATACTATTTTGAAGTTCTTGAAAAACACCACCAAGCCATACAAATAGAGCCTGGGCGCTTATGAGACGAATAAATAAAAGAACTGACTATCTTCAACAATTGAGTTCAATGTACAAGTGGCGACCATTGACTTTTTAAATCGACCAGTCCATCACACACATAACGGCTATATAACTAATTCTACTAGGATTCATTTTCGAACATCTTGTGTGATAGTATGGCATAGAAAAAAAAAATAAAAAATTTCTCCAGAATATCAATTTTACCAATCATTGATTCTCTTTTTTTCGTTTTTTTCTGATGAAAGTCGACGTTTTTGAAGGAGAGACTTGAGTGATTCATTAAAATAAAATGTTACATATAGACTCGATTATATTTGATCGAAATTCATTTTCAATTATGAATTAATTCAATGAAAATACACTAATATGATCATACGACTATTTTCAAGGTCTCTATAAGCAAAAAAATTGGTCATGCACTCGTCAAAGAAACAAAAAACTACGACTTGTGTCATTAAAGAAACGGATACACCGGTGTATTCAAAACGTATGTGTAAGAAAGTATCATTTTATTGATATTTCGTTTTCTTTATCTTGTTCTTGGTATCAAATATTACAAACGAAAAAATATGCCCGACAGTTCCTCTTCTAATGCACTTTGTTAAAATACGGTAGTGACGATGTGTTGATATACTACAGATGTATTAGTTCACATTCTAAACTTATCAGTGGTATAAATATTCGGCGACAAACTGCGTCGTTCGTTTGTCGTAGCTTATATAATGGATCTTATTTTTTCTATTCAAATTTGATTTCTTCTATCGAAAAAAAAACAACGTTTCAATTTAATTCATTGATACGCTACGAATATGACAGATTTTATTGATAATGGTTCGGCAACAATCATGTCACCTGAATGTCCAGTCTCAATTGTGATTACAACTGACGATGAAATTTGTCAATTACGCACACCAAAATATCGTGGATGTAATGCTATGAGCAGCGACTCATCTGATGATGAAGACATTGTTTTGCACGAGAGTCAGCCGAATACACCGACTTTGCAGCCAGATAAATCAGATTCTGTTCACACCATACATTCACAACTATTGATGAAGCTACTCTCGCCTGAAGGTGTATTAGTTAATACAAAATTAGATTCAAATGACACAGGCGAAAAACGAACTGTACGTGGCAAACATGAAATACGACCTATCCGTGGCACAACACTCTATATTGCCGAATGCAATGTTGATGTAAGCTTCTCTTTTTGTAAAAGCACACATAGTAGAGAGTAAAAGAAAGGATCTGTCAATATAGGCTTTCGAATTAATTTTATTGATTGAAAATAATTATTGCAAAGTCTTTTTTCTTTAATCTCAATAGCTTTACATATAGGTTAATATATTGAAGATGAAAATTGATCGATTTACACATTGTTCAAATAAATATTTTCTCCTATATATTTATTTTAGACTCGTTTTGGTGATTTTCACGCATATATGTTTCAAGATTTGATTGGTAAACATTATATTATAGCTTTAACTTATGGAAAAATTAAAGAAAAAGACAAACCATTTTATATTCGTCTTCATTCATCGTGTGTAACAAGTGAGACATTACGTGGATGTGATTGTGATTGTGTACAACAGTTAGAAGGCGCTATCAAAATAATATCTGAAAAACAACAAGGCATTCTATTCTATCTTTTACAAGAAGGTCGTGGTGCTGGTTACGTTGGAAAATCACGCGATCGAATGCTTGTACAAGCATCATGTGATCAAATTTCAACATTCGAAGCATATCAGGTTATGGGCTTGAAGAAAGATCATCGACATTATGAAAATATAGGACAAATTTGTGATTTACTTGGTATTGGTAACGCTCAATTTGTTTTACTTACGAATAATCCTGATAAAATTCAAGCCATGACTGATCTTAAATTGAATGTAATAAGCACTGTGCCACTTGAATTTGACTCATCACCATTCAATGTTGCCTATTTATCATCTAAACAAGCTAGTGGTCATTTGTTACGCAGTGCCAGTCATTCAACACTTCGCGGTAAATCAGCACCAGAACCGGTACCTCTTTTCAAGCCATGCATAGTACCCAATGCTCAACGTTTCATTTATTGTGCTTCGTACTATTTGCCTATGAAACCAATCAATGATGAAATTCTTCTGACTGAGCAACAATTTTATGAAATGTTTAAATATCGACCGATTGATTACTATATCAATATGCCAAATCCCTGTGTACTTCATTATCAAGCTCTACGAAACAATAGATTCTTAGTCAAAATTGACGTCAATAATTTGCGAAAGCATGAAGAAAATTGTCAAAATGATCCTGTATGTGAATTACTAACAACACCATATTGGTTTAAGGTAAATTGACATATAATCTTAGAACGTTTTCTAAACTCGAGATATTCTCCTTCCTATCAATGCTATTCCAAAAAAAAAACAGTATGAAAAACACATTTAGATTTTGACAGACTTACAATTCATCTTTATTGTTCTAGATCCATGTGTATTATGATATAATCAGTACTCGCGAATTTATCATTCTCACGCATGGTACAATTAGCATGTCTCATTATCCTATTGTAAGACTACAAATGGAATCATTGTTCAATCGATTTCCACTTCGTCATACAACCCATCGTAATCGTTTGAAACAATCTGTACAACTTATTATTCGATACGGTGTTGGTATCATTCTTTTGTTAGCCGATGATGGACGAGGTGCTGGTTTTGGAGCATATGCTGTTGATCGTATGCTTTTAGAAAGAGGAGAAGTTCCACATAGTGAGGCAGCTCGAAAAACAATATGTGTTGGTCATGATGCCAATGATTATGATGGTACAATAGCACTTTTGAAAAATCATTGTCCACAGAAAAAGATTCAATTAATTATGAATACACCATCATCAATACTTAAAAAGAAAGCATGTATCGATGCACTTGCAGATCAAAGATTCGAAATAAAAAAATGGCTCTTTCTTCAACAAGAAGAATTCTAGAAAAGTAATTTATTTTATTTTTATCATTTTTCATTTGTATTAATTATGATTTGAAATATTGTTAGAAAATATATTCTATTTCAATATTTGTGTGTTATTGATATTGTTTTTCAATTTTAATTAAATCTTAAAAATTTGAGTGATTTTGTTGTTTGATGGTAATGTGTTTTTTTTTCGAAAAATAATAAATATAAAACAAAAGCAATAGCTGCACTAAAAAATATCATAATATCTTATATAGTCTAATACATGGGATACAAACTATGAAAAGAATATTTTTTGAAATAAACCAGATTTATTTAGCATTTGTACGAAATGATTGGTTAAACAGAAGTTCATTTGGTATCGACGAATATTGTTTGTCATCATACATCCTTGAATCTTGATAAGCTCCACGAATCATTTACATGTATTCAATAAAATATATAGTAAAAAAATTAATCTTGACATTAATCATACTGATATAATGCAAACAAAGATTTTTTAAATTTTTATTCAAGTCCATTATGTTAATAAAATAAAGTACAGGATATCTGGAAAGTTTTTCATAAAAAAATGAAAACTTCTAATTTCTATCGCGATTCTTTTGTAAGAACAATTTTTTGTAATGATGGTGAAGAAAAGTTGGAAGTTGTTATATTCAATAGAACAATATATAGAACTATGTTGAATTGTTTGTATTTGATCTTCTTAATGTTCAGTTTTTGTCATCCAAGCCTATTTCTCTTTCGTTATAAACATCAAAATAGAAAATATTCAAGAAATAGCCCTGCATGCTATTTTTTTTGTGTTGTATTTCGTAAAAGAGTTTCTTTTTGTGTGTTAAACCAGACGCTGTTACTTATACGCATACTTGAAATATTCATACTATTCAATAGTAACTTCGAACAGTTCTCTATCATTTGTACAAAAACAAGTTCATCCAATAGACCTACGGCAAAAACATAGAGTTGTCTTTTTGGTCAATAACTTTCTGGACGTTTTATTCTATTAATTCGTATAAATAGTTTCAAAAAAAAAACAGAATACAAAAATAGATAATGAAACAGAATGAAATGTTATTCGTTGTCAATCTCATTCATAGAGTCAAATTAAATTGAATATTACAAAAAACTGAATAACTGTCATTAACATACATCCAACAGGAAGAAGAGAATGAATGATTTAAAGTATGTAAGTAATACAAAACATGTTTGAAATTTATCGTAATTCGACAGTTTTCTTTCAAGCTGTTAGTAAACATGCTCATCATCATCATCCAGAAACAATAAAAAAAACAAAATATGCAAAACTATTACATGAATATAGATTCAAATAAATTTTTTACACATACTCTCTCTCTTGGCTCAAAATATTATGCTGTTTAAACACTTTCTTTTTGAATCATACATGCTTCTTATTTGGCTTCGATGAATGTTGATTAAATTACATATGTCCATCAGAGAACGAGTGAGTCAGTATTCCCAAGATGCCTCTAGTGTCAGAAAGCAACGGAACTTATAGTAAATGTTGAAGAAGTAAACAACAATGAAAGCATGAAAAGAAAGAAATGTAGGTGGATGTGTGAGTGTGTTAAAGACTGAAGTCGAAAAACGTCGTGTGTGACCTAAAATGACACAAATCTGATATGAACTATCCAGTAACTAATCGGTTCTCTTATAACTCATTAGTTCAAACTGTTACATCAATATTAATACTTGCTAATTTCTAATATGACCATTGTTCTTTACAACAAGTATGGTTGACTAGTAGAAAATAGACGCATAACCGAATTTTGTGAATTTTGAACTCTTGGAACTCTTGAAGCTTATAATTCGAATGTAACTCACTAGAACTAAACAACTAGCGATATCCAAGAAACGCACAGAAACCTAAAAACTCACTAGATCCACTGAACCCTAGAAGTCACAGAATTCTTGAGAACTACTGAACCCAGTTCGAGTTTCAAAGATCTCACAGTATCTTCAAAATCTAAGCTATATCGTCATCTCCGACGGTACCTTTTTATTCTAGTTTTACTATGCTAATTCTCGTTCAGGCTCAACTAAAAACTCTTCTCATCTCTGAGCTCGAACCTAAACATCGATATGAATTGGTTTGTACAATCAACGCTGGATTAATTCGATACAGAATGGGAGATGTCATCAATTGCACGAGATTTCTTTGTCGAGCTGATGACCTCGTTCCATTACCAGAAGAACCAGTCGAGATTCCAAAATTTCCTCTCATTTCATTCGTATATCGTGTTGGAACACTGTTGGATATATTTGATGAGATTCTGTGAATTTACATTGTATCCAAGACTAGATGTATTTTTCGCTAAATTTGTCAACTTTCTGGAATTGATTGAAGATCAAAAACACAAGATTCATGTACAACAAGTTCAAGTTCGCAAGAATACTGTCAATGTAGAAGATATTCTTGTACGAAGTGGAACATTCTCGAATTTTTTGAGCATATTCTTGTGGACCGATCGAATGAGTCCTTTGCAACTCAAACCTCATCGAAAGTTGAAGAATGAAGAACACATTAGATTCTTTTATGAAAATGAAATTGATACATCGTTTTTTTTAGTCATGACTCTTCTTGCAACAATACTGACAATCGTGAGTAGCAAAATTGAAATTGACTATGAGACTCAAACTTAAAAAGATTTTGTTCACATTGGAAATACGATTCAATGCTGCTTTGAAAAATGTTAGATCGTATTGGCTCTGTTTGTGTATGATTCATTAGGTACTGTAGACATTCCTAGACAAAATAAAAAAAAGTTTGGCACTCAAAAGATTTCATTTCGACTTATTAATATGATATGGTTTCTACGAAGTATGAAAGTTTATAAATCAAAATAAACTGATCTATGTTTCAAAATTAGATGCAAAATCTATTCAATTTATACTTGTAGATCAATTTTTTTCGTTTGATCACTCAAGTAAATGAATACAGATCAGCACAATCGTTTTTGTTCAGCTTAGAAAGTTTATTTAATTATAATTGTTAAATATTTTTTGTTTTGTTTAATATTCTTTCTACACTTCCTATATAAATGAGTTCAATTGAATATTGTACGGGTTTGAACGATGGATCTTTATAAAAAAAAAAGTCAGATTTGAAGACTAAAATGAAAACAAGTTATAATGGAAAGACTAAGAAGTTAAAAGCATAACGAGTTAAACATCACAAATCTTTTTATAAAAGGTTCAATTTTAAATACTCAAACGAAATAGAGACTACCTCAAGTACTCATAGGTTTTGAGTACAACAATTGAGTGCTCGCCTTCTAATATCAAGTGTTTCGCGTGTACTTGTATATAATTTTTTTTGCATTCTAGTAGTTTATGTGAAATTAATCTTAAACATATATACTGTTTCGTATTATTATGCTAAATTTGTTTTCTGTAAGTATAAATTGAACAATAAAAGACAAAGGTAAACACAATCAATTTGAGAATCATATGTCAAAATTTACTCTTATAGTTTTGGTATATAGGAAAGAGATAACATTTCAATTTTTAGAATATCAAGTAATAGTAGACAGTCAAGTATTCAAATTAACCAACATGATTAAAATGGAACAAATGGTAAATTATTGAAGAAAATAAGAAATGCTATAAGAAATAAAATATCGTTAGTCTTAATTATCATAAAAACAAAATAGTCTGTTATTTTTTTTTTTGATAGATGAATATCTTACGTTGAGTAATACAGGTTATTAGTCAAACTTTGGTGTCCTTGATTTTCACAATCATTCTGAAAACAAAAATGAATTGTAAAGTTATTCAAGATGTGAACAGTTGAATATGTAAAATTCTTTTCGTCTTTCTTTAAATTATCATTTATTGTACTATGATGAAGAATTCATTAGAAAAGAATAAATTGAAAATTTGACACGTTATTAAAACAATCTTTTCATTGAATTGCTAATGTTTTCTTTATTGCATTAATTTAGTGTCTTATTCTGTATTATAATGCATAAATATTTTGCTAAATGACCCGTAAAAAAACAAGAATGATTATTAAATTGCGTACTCATCGTTTCACTCCCAGATCAATGATTTCAACGCTTAGATCCGTGAATTTACGACAGATTTTGGCCGAGAAAAATGAGAAAATGGTAGTTCCGGTCGTTACCGAGCACAATAGACCACTGAATCCGATTGAACCAGTCGGTCTTCATCAGTTGATAGAAATTTTATTGACATACCATTTTTTCTCTGCTCGATTATATCAAGAGCATATTTGAATACTCTTATCACAATAATCAAAATGTTGTATTTGTTTAATAGAAGTAAATTTCATTTTGAAAAAATCACAATCAAAAAACTGTGACATTAAAATTAAACCTTCCAATTTAGTAAATCAATGTTTCATATAAGATCAAATTTAAGTTTAGACTATCGTTTAAAAGAGAAATGATAGATTTATTTGTCAAAACTAAGTAAAAAAAATTCAAGATTTAGAATTTAGTAATTAGTTCTCTGATAAATGTTTTCATGCTATAAAAAAGAAGTATCGCATATTTATCTTGAAGACTGTCAAAGAATCTGAGTGTTAAAACAGAGAAAATTCTTGATCGATTACAACTGTAAATAAAGTTTTTTCATTATAGTAGTCAAATCTTGTAAAAAAAATCTCCTGAAGCATTCATATTTTAACATCCTGTTTCTAAAGATTACAATTAGACACGAGCGGGATTACAATATAATACTAACATGTATTTACTCTTCTAATGATCTCTAATTGAAAGTGCTGCAAAGAAAAAACAGTGACGACTATTTTTTTTTTAATATTATAAATTTGTTCTGCGTAAACAAATTTTTTTTTATTTTATTATTACACATCTATCATTTCCGAATTAATCGACTTTCATAAACAGTCGACTGTTTAGATAGATCTCTAGAGTATTCGATATTCTATTTGATTTAATAATAATAATAAATTTCTATAACATTAGCAAGCATCCGATTAATGCCTGTAGAATATAATTAACACTCTATTTTGTATTTTATAATACTTATTAATCAAACGATTAATTGAACTCATTCATTAAATAAATTTACAATAACCTTTTGCATGACTTTTTTTTTAGTTTCGACACGTTTTAAAATCATAGAAAAATAGTATTATCAATTGTTTTAAATTTTTTTTTTCAATTACAAAGTTACTAAAAATATTCTTCTTTTAACATGACTTAAACACGTATATATTTATTGTTGAGTCGAAAACGATTTTGACACGTTTAATGCCATTTGTTTTTTCTGTTGCATTAGAAAAAGAAAAATCTCATGAGCCATCAATGTCATGAAGTATTTCAACAGTTATTATAATGCTCGTTTCTTTTTTGGCTATAATCTGAAGAAATGTCCTCGGTTTGACATATTTCACAATTTTTTTTTAATAACACATACGATGACGATTGTTTTTTTTTCGGAGATATAAAATGCATGCTAAAAACTTGATTAAATTGTTTTCGATTTAAGTTAAATCAAAGTGAGTATTATTATCTTTTCTTTTTATGTCAATAAAAAACAGAAAAAAAGAAACTACGCGTTTTAAATGACATATATGTACTTTAGTTTGGTCTAGTTAGAGGAAAGGTAAGTATACTTTTAAGATAAAATACAAGAGAAAAAAAAAAAAGGAAAGGTAGAATTTTTTTTTTCTTTTTCGTTTCTTTTCTTTTTCTTTTTTTTATGATGCATAGTTAATATTGCCTCTGTAAGCAAATGCAAGTAAAAGTAGAAAGATACATCATTAATCGAAGTCATCAACAACATAAGAAATAACATTTACATCAATTATAAAAAAAAAAAAAACGAGAGACTCATTCGAGAGTTACATATAAAGTAGAAGATGATGAGATGAAATGCATAGTAAACTAGAAAAAAAAAGACTGTCAACATCATTTATGTCTGTGGGTGTAAAAGCCAATGAATGATATTTGATCAAGTATGTTTTCTTTTTTTTTCCTCTCTATTTTTCTACGTTAAAAAATAAGAAAAATGTTATCAACGTCTTTGTTATTTCATATATTTACTAGGATCATTAATATGAATGACGTCAATAGTCGTTCATTTGATCGTCGGTAAAATATATAACAAAAGTATTCATTTAATGTCAAATAGATTGAATTAGATTATGAAAAATGTTTATAGCCGATAGAGATCTTTCTTGACATAAGAAATTAATTTATGTTATTGATGTAGCTTTGAAAGCCAAAAAAAAAAGATTAAACATATATGCCCTTGGTTTAGACAGATGCTCGACTTTTTTTGTTGCTCATCATTTTCTAATGGTGTATTGGATGCATTCATATAATTAGTTTGCGTATTCGTGAGAATATGCTTTTACTATGCACGAATGAAACAAAAGAAGACGTAATCTGTAAACAATTGTTGATGTAGAATTGAGAATAAGAACGGTAAAAAATACAAAATTAATTTTAATCACACAATTTTGAAATATCCGATTACAACTAATTTAGAATTCTTCTTATTGTAAGAAGAATTAACAATAGTTATATGCTTGAACGCATGGATAAATGAATAAATAATAATAATCGATTAATCATGCACTTTAACAATCAATGAAATATGTTAGAAAAACTATACTAGTAGATCATGTATGATTTTTCTTTGAATGTATTAGTATATTTAATAACTCTGAATATTAACAAAATATCATTTCGAATAGTAATTTTTTTTTTTTAAATAAATTATCTATGTTAAATTTTAGAACATACAGGAACTACATAACATATGGTATGGTTGATATTTTAAGTAGATTTCTTATCTTATAAAATTATTTCAAATAAATTATATTATCTAGATTAAATGGATGTTTATTGAAAGCTAAGTAAATAAAAACATTTTTGCCCTAGTTTTTCTTTTCTTTAAGATAGCTATGACGCTGTTGTCTTGTGATGATCATGAAATAAATAAACGCAATAAGTGTGAGATTTCTCGATTATTTACAGAAAAGATTCATAAACTATTTTCTTTTTTTCTTTCTAATGTTAAAAGAATATTCTTTTGATATTTATTTTAATGTATAGCATCTAAGCTGTATAATCGACATTTTTCATTTGTAAATATATGTCTCTTATGGTCTATTTACGTGACATTTTAATTATTTTGACTGTTGATATTTTTTTCTATCAAGAAAAGATGACTTCCTTTCTTTTCTATTCGTTTATTCAAAGATATTCCAAAAAGTCTGCACAGCATCATCACTTATGTTGAACATAAGTAGTTTGATTATTAGGGTTTTTTTTATTCTCTTCAAACTATCGAAGTAGTATACTATAAGCATCCTATCGTATTTTTATTTGCGACTTTGTTTTTTTATTATGTACTGACCCAACTGGGAACTAAAGATGTTTTTTTTTGATAAGAAGGGTCCTCAAAATACTCATAGCAAAATTAAAAGAAAAAAAAATATATATGTTTTAGCTCTTTTTCTATTTATCTTTGGCACAATCTATTTGCTTATTTTATAACTTTATTTCAGCGGATAAAATATTTGTCTCATATATTAATACTTATCTTTCTATAGTTGGATTTTTTATAGGCATCCTCATTACGACAGCTGATTTATTCTCACAGGATGTTGAGTAAGAAAAAGAAAAAAGAAAAAAGAAAAAAAAAACGCAAAAGAAAAAAAAAACAACCCTACTGTTGAAAAACAAATGTAGGCAAGCGAATAAACAAGCGAGCAGAAAAAAAAAGAATTTTCTTTCACCGTACACGCACATCGTTACATTCTGACAGCGTTCATCATCAGCGTTGGTTTCGATATAAAGATTGCTGTTTCTTTCATTTTTCCCTCTATCGTTACAATGAATGTATATATATATAAATAGATCTGCCATCAATATTCTGACAGTTTTTTTTACTGCTTTCGATCATTTACCTTTTATTCTATCTATCTTTACTATTGTTATTGTCATAGACATATATTTATATATATATATATGTAAATATTTTTTTTATTGCTATTTGTTTCGATATTTTATTGTAGAATGGAAGAAATACAAGCAATTGTTCTAGTCAAGCAAAACACCCGAGAATACATAACCATTTTTGACTTGTCATCTACAGCTTGAATCATAACAATACTTCGCATAAAAAAATATATGACAACAAAACACGATACATTATCATTGTTGTTATATTAACAATAGCTTGTCTAACGAGTATTATTATATTATAAATTTTTGTTTTATTTTCTTATAACTATGAGAAAATTCTTTAGTCAAAAATCAAAATCAAAAGTGTTAACAGAATCATCTTTAGTCATGTCATTATTACCATTGAATAAAGATGATAATAAACAGATAACAAAACAAAAACCACATTCAGCACCAAGTAACATACAAACTACAATTACATCTGAAAATGAAACATCAACAACTAAAGACGATTCAATGTTAACAAAAATATCAATAAAACAAGATGATAGTGAAGAGAAACCTCAAAAGTTATTTGTTGTTGTATCAGGTAAATAATCTTTTTTTTTAATATTTTCATTAAAAACAAAAAAAAATACAAAGTTTTTTGACCTACAATAAAAAGAAAAGGTCATAAAATCGAGTATGAATAAATTTGTTGAATTTCTTATTGTTTTTTATCAGATGTCGATTCAACATGTACTCCATCAATGTCAAATGAAACAACAAATTCTAATCTATTAAGTGTTGATGACTGTGAAATAAATGAAACAATAAAAACATTACCATTACGTCAACGTTCATCAACTTGTTCTGGGCAACATTTACTACGTTATCGTGAACAATATTCTAGAAAAACTATTGAAGAACGTCTTCGTCGTCGTAGTTGGATGGTATCTCAAACAAACAATAATAATAATAATAATAATAATAATAATAATAATAATCAAACATCTGATAATATTTTACAAAATCAACAAACAATGAATTTATTACGTTCACGTCGTTTTCGATTAGGACAATCAGAACCAAATTTAACTTCTTTACAAATGGATTTATCTTATCCATTATCTCCAACTACTAAAACTTCTCCCCGAACATCATCAGTAACACCAACAATAACGAATACTCTTCAATTATTATCACGTCGTCCAAGTATACGTCGTCCAAATCTATCCGGTTTAAATTTAATTAATTTAAAACATGCATTAAGAAAACAATTATCACCACAACAAACATTATGTGCAATAACAAATGATTCAAATCAAGATTCAAATATACTCGATAATGATATTGATCGTCGATGGTCATTAACATCTGCACCGTCATCAAGTGGTTATGGTACAACATCACCACCAAGTTCTCAATATTCATCATTTGAACGTCTTCAACATCAACAACAACAACAACAACATATATGTACATGTAAACGACAACAAATTGATTCAAATCTATATGATGATTTACAACGTTTAGAATCTCGTTCAATATCAATGTCATTACTTGATGCAAATCTATCAACATCATCAAATAAAATGATGATTATACCTGAGCAAGATCTTAATACAATGGCATTTATTTATAAAGAACGTTATCCAAAAGCTAAAATACAAATGGAAGAACGTTTACAAAATTTTATTGATACATATAAATTAATTGATAAATTTGATCATTGTTCAGATGGTTCAGCAAGATTTATACATAATCAAATTGTTGAATTAGCTAAAGATTGTTTAGATAAATCAAATAAGGATTTAATAACAACATTATATTTTAATGAAATGACTGTTAATCTTGAACGATTATTATTAAATGCTAAAGAAAAATGTCCACAAACAATTGAAAATTTACAAACAATTGTTCGAAAACTTTTATTAATTATTGCAAGATCAGCACGTCTTCTTGAATGTTTACATTTTAATCCTGAAGATTTTTTACGTACATTAGAAGAAGTTGAATGTCAAGCAAAAACTATGACTCATATTAAACAAGATATACCAAAATATATTTGTTCAAAACTTAATCTTGACAGAAATCCACTTGATGTTATTGATGCCTTACAGGTAATTAAGATTCTAAAACAAAGTTTTCTTTTTTTTTTTTTCATCAAAGACAGTTGAGCTTGGTTTTTTTTTCTTCTTCTGAATGTTCAATTTAAATGTTAGGAGTCGATTTAGATCTTATGCTGAATGCGTGCAACTCATTCACAACTCGCTATTATCTATCCTTTACGAGCTCATGACATGAAACGTTTCTATAAAAAGCTTTCCTTTTGTCTGCAAATTCTTTAATGGTAGTCATATATATATATTAGATGAAAGCTTTTTCTTTCCTTTGTTGAATAGCATCTATAAGTATTTTTTCTTTATATGACATGCTATTCATTCGTATTTACAAAATAAGAGTTTTCAAAAGTCTACAAAATGAACTAAATTTTGGACGATAGATACAATTTTTATGAGACTCAATCGTCAGTCAAAAACATCGTTTTTATTATTTATTCGTCTGTCATTTTGCATTTTCTGAGATTTTTATAAATTTAGTGAGTTTTCGGATGAAAATAAAAGTAGCTAAAAAAAAAAAGAAAAGAAAAGAACAATATTTTATAGTACTCGTATATGTTATTTAATAGAGGACCACTGTTTATAGAAACATTTCATGTCAAGAACCCATAAAGCATATAATAATAGCGAGTTTTTAATCGGTCGCACGCAATCAGAATGAAGTCTAACTTGTCTAATTGGAATGGCAAATGATTTCTGACATCCGGCATTGACTATTTCAAAAATAATAAATTCAATTTCAAGAAGCGACCAATTTCATCGCTCAATAACTTTCTTCATTTATATTTCTTTTATGATATTTTTATTCTTTAACAAAAAAAAAACAAAACGTAAATAATTTTATTTAGTTTACTGAATTAACTAATAGTGAAGCAGAAAATTTCAAAGCTCTTTCATTATCTGAAAGTGAAAATGAATCAATAACAGATACAAATTATTTAACAATAACACCTAATACAACATTTTCACCTATTGAACGTTCAACATCAATAAAAGGTCCATGTGAAGAAGATTTTGAAATAATTAAATTAATATCTAATGGTGCATATGGTGCTGTTCATTTAGTAAAACATCGTCAAACACAAGAACGTTATGCTATGAAAAAAGTTTCAAAAACAAATTTAATTTTACGTAATCAAATTGAACAAGTTTTTGTTGAACGTGATATAATGACATTTACAGATAATCCATTTGTTGTTGCACTTATTTGTACATTTGAAACAAAAAATCATTTATGTCTTGTTATGGAATATGTTGAAGGTGGTGATGTTGCAACATTATTAAAAAATATTGGTGGACCATTAAATATTGATATAGCACGAATGTATTTTGCTGAAACAACATTAGCTGTTGAATATTTACATTCCTATGGAATAATTCATCGAGATCTTAAACCAGATAATCTATTAATAACATCTATTGGTCATATAAAACTGACTGATTTTGGTTTATCAAAAATTGGCTTAATGTCATTAACAACAAATTTTTATGAAAAACTTCTTGATAAAGAAACAAAAATATTTAATGATAAACAAATTTGTGGTACACCATCATATATAGCACCTGAAGTTATATTACGACAAGGTTATGGTAAACCTGTTGATTGGTGGAGTATGGGAATAATTTTATATGAATTTTTAGTTGGTATACCACCATTTACAGGTAATACACCAGATGAATTATTTGTCAATGTTATTAATGGAAAAATTGATTGGGATCAATTAACATGTGATATTGATGAAAATACAACAGATGGAGTAATTTGTCGTGATGCAAAAAATTTAATTGAACAATTACTTGAACATGATCCATCAAAACGTTTAGGTACATTAGGTGGTGCATATGAAATTCGTTCACATCCATTTTGTTCTTCAATTAATTGGAATACATTATTACGTGAAAAAGCTGATTTTGTACCTGTTTTAGAATCACCTGATGATACATCATATTTTGATACAAGACAAGATCGTTATAAACATTCTGATGATGATGATGATAATTTATCAACAACAACAACAAATGATTCTGATTCATTATTTGCATCATTTTCATCTGTTTCATTAAAATATGTTTCAGAATTATCGGGAAATTCTAAACAACGTCATTCACCTAAACAAGAAAATGATTCTAAATTAGTAAAAAATGTATTAAGAGCTAATTCATGTACAGATTCATTTAGTTCAAATAATATTATTCAAATCGATTCAACAAATGATTTTCAACCACTTGTTATGAGTAAATCAATGTCAAATGAGCAAGGTAATCAAAAGTTTTTGTTTCTCCTATAGAGAAAGTCATCAAGCAAGGAAAGATATCGTTGATATATCATTTAGTTTCAAAATATGCTCTATGAAATTCTTTAAAAAATAGATATAAAAACAGCATCATAAGCTTCAAATACTGTTAAACATGTCTTAGTCTTTCAAGGTAAAAAAAAAAAAGTAATTTTAAAGAAAAGTAAAAAGTCATGTAATTCAAACCAGACAAACCCATTGGTAAGACGATCGAGCCTTTTCTGATTGCTATTTTTCCTCAGTTTACTGGCGCAAGTACGAACCAATGTGCAACATGAGTCACTGTTTTCTCAAAAACCTTATATATAGAAAAAATGTCATTGGGCATTTTTAATTCAGTCAGATGAATTCTAGATGATCATACTCAAAGAATATTCTGTTTGACATAGTTTTATGTCTACTATTGTATAATTTTAGCTGAATCACCTACCATTCAAGCATCATTTGGTTCGGATACATTCGAACCATTACATGTTTCATCAGATGAATCTGAATCTTCATCAATAAAACTCAATTCATCTTCATCATCTCTTTCATCATCTCTAAAAATAACAAATACAGATGAAAAGAAATCACCATCAACATTAACAAAACATTATAAACAACGAAAAAGTTCATTAAAAATATTTGAAAAACAAAATTCAATTGATAGTGGTGATGATAATCAACAAGAAAAAACTTCATATCGTCATCATAAAAAAAGTCGAATACCTCGAGCATTATCACCAATTCAATCTAAACAAACAAATTTAATAACACCAATTGTATCCATATCACATGAAAATGTTCAAAATTCATCTTCATCTTATAAACCAATAAAATATAATAGTCAACAACAAAAATGTACTTTTTCACGAACAGTTTCAAAATCATTTTCATCATCGTCATCATCATCACCACCACCAATTTTATATTATAATCAGGTTTATTGTTTTCTGTTTTTACAAAAAAAAATCATGATGAAACTAGAACTTTTTTTTTTCTTTTTCTTCATGTTTTTCTATAGGATGATCGTTCATATCGTCAAAATCAACGTCATAGAATGACTGTCTCTCCACTTGAACGTGATACAACTCTTAAAGTTGAAAAACAATCTTCAAAAATTTCACTAATACATTCAATAACAAATACTCTTCGACCACCAATTATAATACGTCGTGGTCCACGTAGTTTTGGTTTTACATTACGTGCTGTTAAAGTTTTTCATGGTAATACGGATTATTATACAACACAACATGTTGTTGTTGCTGTTCAAGGACCAGCTGAAGAAGCTGGTTTAAAACCTAATGATGTTATAACACATGTTAATGAACATCCAGTTTCTGGTCTATGTCATTCTGAAGTTGTTAAATTAATTCTTAGTGGATCAGAAAAATTATCTATACGTGCTGTACCATGTTCCGAAACTCAAATACGTATTGGTGGAAGACGTCGTTCACCATCAAAACAAAAAAATCGTTATCAACAACAAACAGAAAAAAAAATTTCTACTATAAATAATGACAATCATTATCATCAACCATATTGTTCAAAACATCGAATGAATTCATTAGGAAATAATACATTAACGAATTCAAATAAAAAACATCAACATAATACATCTTTATTTCGACGTTTAAGTGAAAGAAAAGTAGCTCGTGATATTGAAGCAGCAGCAGCAGCTGCTGCTGCAAATGTTTCATTAATTGTTCCAACAACATGTATAAATACAAATACTAATAATACATTGACGACAACAACAAATACAGATATTCTTTCATCTTCATTACCATTACTTTCATTTAATCAATTAATGCATGATAATAATAATAATGAACGTTCTTCATCATCATCACATCATAAACGTAATCCTTCCAAATGGTCACCATCAAAATCATCCACATTATTGACTAAAGATTTAAATGCATCCCAATCAACTTCACTACCATCTATTACTAAGCAAAAATCTCCAGTTAGTATTATTATAGAAATATGAAAAAATATTAATTAACTTTTCTCTTTCTTTTTTTTTATAAAACATAATCCGAAGGAAGTGTTAAAGTATATAGAGTAGAAACTTGCATTTTCCTCACAGACTATAACAAAATGTTGTAGATTTTACGATTATAAAATTCTGAAGAGATTGTGATCACAACTTTTTTTTTTATATTTAAAGACTTCAAAATCATCTTTGATCAAATGTGCATCTGCATCTGACGAACCTATCCATCAGTCTCTTTGTAAAACAGTATCCGAACCACCTCGTCACAATAGTACAAGTAGCAATCAAAATCAATATTCGGTAAATAACAATATTAATAAATAGAATGATCATTTCTAACATATGTGCTTATGCTTTAAAAATTATTTGATCACGCTTATTTGATTTTTTTTTAATGCTTATCTAATCAATCATTGCTAACTAAAATACTAAATCGATTGAAAAATTAATTCTACTTAAAAAAGGTGATTAACGCTTTATTTTGAAAATAATCATATGAGAAATAAATTTCAAATTCTTTTAATTTTAGCCTCGACAAAATCATTTCCATGCACCTATGATCTCATCACATAGGAAAAAACTTCAACGTCAAAACTCAATCTATGTTCCTCCATCTCCAACATCATTGCAATCAACATTCACATGGGAAAATAATCTCAATCAAAATATGCAATCATATTATAATGATCCATTAACACATTCATTATCTACTGAATCATCAACAAGTTCAACATCGATATCTAATAATGTCGATAGTCATTCTTCAAATCCGATTTTTGTTTCTACAAAATATTTCTATCGACGAAAATAAGTAGTTATTCAAATGTATATTATGTATTTCTGAAGATCAGCCTTGTACATACAAGTGCGTTCTAACAGCTTGTTTTGTCTTTCAAATAATCCATCTTTATCTGTTCTATTAAAAAAAAATAAGTATAATAAGCCAACTAATTCTGTTGCTTTTGTTGTTGTTCATAGAACTTGTATATTTTTTTTTCTGGACGATGGTGATTATATTTGTTTGTTTTTAAAATGTGATGTTTTGTTCAAATCTAATGATGAATATTAAAATGCAACACTTGCATAAAAATGCTGAATGAGTGATGTTTTTAAGATCGTAACAGTAACTACAGGATCTTGGGATTAGACTTTTCTGCTCTCTAGAATATTCAAGTAGCATGCGATGCGAAAGCAAGTGTACAAAATTTTCGGATATAGGTGCGGAAGGATGGATGTGAA